TTTTTTTTTTTTTTTTTGAACACCCTTCAATACCGAGGGCTACACAACTAATTGTACATCTTCCATTCAACACATTAAACAAAAATTATGTATCTTTACAAATATGCTGACATTCCAATCAATTTCTTGATATATTACATCCGTGTTTTACAAGTTTCCATATTCAGAGGACTATCTTTCTAAACTGTCATCCACAAGCAAGCTGAATGACTCAAAGGAGCTCTCGTAGTCCCCTTTGTTTTCCCCATAAAAATGACACCAAGATTAATCCGTGTGAGAATGCAATCTAACCTTCATGCAACGAAATCATGAAACAGATGAGAAGAACCGTACCTGTGCTGACGGTTCTCAGGATTTATGCATTCAAAATCTGTTGTTTCAGCTCCTTCGGCAGATGCCTGGGTATTGTATATGTCATCCCCTCTCATGGCAATAAAACTGTGATGAGTTCCACCTGACATCGGTAGCCCACCACCCTCGTAGTGCTGCAATCCCAACGTCAGAGACACACCACTGCCACTTCCACTCCCGAACCTCCCCAACTCTGACATGTGGTAAGCGGCAGCAGCAGCTGCCATGAACCTTTCACCACTGCCATCAGAATGAGCAAGTGCTTCAGGAAAGATGGTAGAGTCATCCAGAGCGGGTCTCTGCCCTTCCCTCATCTTTGCTAACCTGTATTCAGCTTCAGTGTCTGCATGCGCGTTCTGGAAACTTGTTCCTGCAGTTGATCCTGCCATTTCTACATCAGTAACATTGTCAGATTTTGAATCAATCAATTGTCCGGTGCTACATCTTTCAGTTCCTGTCGAACTCCCACTTTGCTGCAGATCTTCACCTCTACCCATCATATCACTTTTTGTTGCTTTAGCTGCATTTTCAGATGACGAGTTAGAGTCCATATCTACATCAGCAAACTCTTCCTTGTACATATCTTCAACCATAGGCTTCCAAAGCCGCACACGTGCATTTATAAACCAATTTGAGACCTGAACAAACAAAAATGCAGAAAGAAAGCATGAAGCAGTAATATTTCTCAAATAAATAAACCACGGGCATCTTGAGTTCACTGATAAGACATTGGATTCTTTTTACCTGACTTCTAGTCAAGCCAGTTTGCCGTGCCAGCATAATCTTATCGGAATCCTTTGGATAACTGGAAGATAACAAAATCACCAATCAATGTGATTGATTTGAAACATTAAGGTTCCATGAAAGAGTAACAAGAAAGCATCATGTTGAAGGACTTACGGATGAAGGAAATGCTCAAACAGCCAAGCGCGAAGAATTGAGACAGAACTTTCAGGCAGTCCCCTTTGTGGCCTCCATGCATGCTGTTGCATCATACCAAGCTGCTGAAGAGCCTTCTGTTGCCTCAGGTGCTGATCCACATACCGCAGACGGGTAATTCCTACTCCTTTACCATTTTCAAAAGCATCCTGATCTCCGAGGCTCTTTCGGGTGGCACAGATTTGACCATTGATTGCATCACGCAAGCATCTGAAGTGGCGTGATATGGTCTGTAGCGCAAGTGCAGTGTATGGCTTTGCAGCCCCACATCCTGCTATCACATCAAATGATGACACCACAATCTGCATCTGATGATAGTACCGTTTATACCTTCTATCCACCTACAATAACGTATAACCATTATTAGACTTCAGTGAGAAAAGTGGAGCAATAGACTTGGGCACATTGGTCTCATACAACATTGAAATGTGTCCATAGACATGACATTAATGTGGTCAAGGAAAACAATGTTTCGTGAAATCAGTGTTTTGGCAGGCAGAAGCAGGCACCTGCGCTCACTATGCACAGACATAATTCATGGTCATGGTATGGACATTTGACAATACAGAAGAGTACAATTTACTTGCTGCATAAGTAGGAAAACTAAAATGAAGTGGTCATACTTCTTACCTCATCCATCATGGACAGCAACTTTGTTAACTTGCCTTGCAATTCTTGTCTTTCAGCATGTGAGAGCTCACCCTTAGAGTTTTTTGCATTGTTAGATTCTTGTGTGTTTGAAGGCACACTCTTTGATGCCCCATCACCTTCCTTGGAACTCTTTTGCTCTTCATGCGGGCTTTGGTCTTTCTCTCTATCAGGCAGCTTTAGTGCCTTTCTAACATTAACAACTTCATCGAGCAACTGTTGTGCAGCCTTAAGGTACTTAGAATTGGGAATGGTTCTTGATACACTTGACATTCCATAACCAGATAAATCCCCTTTATTTAAATCTTGGGCACCTCCGAAAAAACCAGGTGGCAAATACTCAGCAAATCTTGAATTTTCATCTCTAGATGAAGTTGGGGCATTCCTGCTGCCACTCTCACCCGCAATTGATGCAGTTGGATTCAAGAATGAAGCAAAGCCTGTATTTGGATTTCGATAAGGCATGGAAGGAAGTTGTATTCCAGAGGGAATTTGAGTACCAAGGCTAAGGGACAACCCCTGACCCTGCAAGCTCTGTCCACTGTGAAGAATGCCAGCATGAGGTCCACCCATTGGATGCATAACTAGCATCTCATTCCTCCCATCCCTCCAAGCACTGAAATCATGCTCCCCGACGCGTGACCCTCCAAGGTTCGATAGAATTTCTTGCTGACGTGAAGTTGAGTCTGAAGCTTCTACGGACTGAATTTCGATGCAGTGGCTTTGCATCTGAGAATTCGAAGCAAATCCATCTGGAAATGACCCAGAATTCATGTAAATCATTGTATTCCCGGAAAGAACAGCCCCCTCCGGATATGGAACAGGCAGAGGTTCCCTCAAATAGACCATTGGAGCAGCATCTCTTTGATTACTTGAACTAGAGTAATAGGTAGCCATATTTCTCAACCTCGAAAACTTCCTTCCCCTCTTGTTCAAGTCAGGTTCATAGTCACTCCAGAAACTGAACATAACCAATAAAATTACTAAACAAATTTCAGTAATCTCTCATCCATTGCAGTCCAGGTAAAATTTTCTATATTTTTGAGTAGCCTACTTTTCTGGATTACTAACTAATAGCAGGACTTTATAATAATTAATTCAGCATTAAATTCAAGCGCAAAACTTATAACAATCAAAACAAGATCTGGAAGACTAACTAAAGAAGAAAAGCAGAGGGATTTTTCAAGAAAAAGAATCCCAATATAAAGAAAAAGCAAGAAACAAGACAAACCCAGAATTTGTTAATCCCAACAATTCAATTTCTTAAGATCATCTTCGCACGGCAAAGAGAGAAGGATAAGGATAATGAAGAGAGAAAAAAAAAATAAAGAAAAAAAATTCCAGAAAGAATAATTGAAACATAAAGTCAAAGAAAAAAAAGAACAATCAGCAATAAAAAAATACCTGGAAACCAGTAACTGTTGTGGGTGTTGTAGGGAACAGGAAATCTGAATGACACAACCCGATCCGCACCACACACTTTCTGATCCCAAGAAGCAATTGTACAACAACAATATCAACACAACCCTTCACTTTTTCATAGAAAATTTACACAAAAATAAAAAGAAAATAAAGAAGAAATTAAAAAGAACCCCTCTTTTCTTCATCCCAGATAATAATTCAAAGACCCATGAATTCCGAATTAGTTCACTTTTTTTTCCTAATCATATATTCCCCATCCATCATTCCATCAAACCCCACGTGAGAGATTCATTCAATACTTGCCCATATACTGCTTTCCCTTTCGTTCTCTGTTTCTCTCCCCTCCAAAAGAAAAAAGAAAAAATGATGGCTTTAACTTTTAGAGAAAATAGTTTCCCCTTTTGAGCTTTAGCTTTTGCTTTTTGAGGGGCTTTGCTTGAAACCCAGATGTGGTAGTTGGTACTTGACCTTCCCTTTTACTTGCTTCTTCTTTCAATTTCTGCTGCTGCTTCCCCTTCTTCTTCCCCTGCTTCTTCTTCCTCTTTGGTGTTTGGTTAAGGAGCTTCTATCCCTAACTACCAGTTGGTGGACCTAAAACCCTCTCTTAAACCTCCCCTTTCTCTCACCATCTCTTCATGTCTCTCTCATCCTTAAGCATGGAACCTCCTCTGGTTTTTCTTTTGCTTCAATACAAATATCCACCATATAACCATATCTTATTCTTTCTTTTTTTCTTTTGTTTTTTGGCTATAATATTGTTTTGTTTATTTTATCCTATATATATATATATATTTTATATTTTAATTTACGAAATTAGAGTTGATGAACAGGATGTGTAAAAATATTAGACACAAAAACACACTCAAAATAATCTCTAATAAACATT